GTGAGATCGCCCTCGTGCTTGCGCCGGTGCCGCTCCGTCCGAGCCAAAAGCGACTCGCCGCCGACGACGAGCGGCGTCGCCGAGAGCACCGCGGACACGACGACCTGCGGCCAGACGGGCCGGTGCGTCCGCGACGCGAGCGACGACAGCACCGTCTTGTTGAGGCCCGCGACGACGACCTCGCCGAGCTTGAGCACGACGGGCAGCAGGAACGCGACGCCGACGAACCTGAAAGGCGGGGGTCGCGGGCGCGGGTCGGCGGAAAACCCGACGCCGCGGCGCGCGCGTAGGCCATCGCGAAGCCCTTGCCCGCGTCCGTCTTCGGCGTCCAGTCGCCGTAACCGACGGTCGTGAATGTGACCGTGAGGTAATACCTACGGCGACGGGTGAGCGCACGTGCGTGGGAGACGACGCCGGTGAAGTGCGTCGTATGTTCGAGCTTGTTTCCGATGGGGTGATCCTTCTCGAGTTCACGGAGGATCAACCAACCGAAAATATAATAAGCGGCCACTTTCACGCACGTATAAGCGGCCAACGCGACGACGGGCCACCGCTTTTTGGGCGGCGCCATGGCGCACGGCGCGGGCGTGACCGTGGGGCAGGGCGACGGCGCCGCGGTTCTGGGGAGGCTCGTCGACGGGTTCGACGACGGCAACGACGACGGCGCCGAGGAAAGCGACGGCGCGAGGCTCGGCGCCGTCGAGTCCGCGTCGAGTTTTCGGACGTCGTTTTCGAATCGTCGCGCCTCCACAAACGCGATCGCCGAGTCGACGCACCCGCCTGCGGACCCCCGGCCAAGCGCGCGCGCTCGGTCCAAGGACCCGCAGGCAAGAGGCACCGCTGAGCTCGGCCACGAAGCGGCGGCCCCCGACCTCGCTGTGTGCGCCGTGATCAACTAAAGTCCCGCCGCGGCCTTCGACCTTGCCTACCGAGGGGACGTTCGAGCGCTTGAATGGTCGCAATCGATGCACCTGGCGCCGAGAACGAGCGCCGGACGGATCGCTCTCGGAGAGCCCTCAGCGCGGCCCAGCTGAACACCGTCCACCGACGGTCTCGCGGGCCGCTCGAAAGCTTCAAAGCCGTCCCAGGGCATCCCGAATCGATGCCCGTGCGAGGAAACACACGTGGCCCTCGGCCTCTCGCTGCCTCGGCGGAAGTCCGCGGAGCCGACATCGTGTCGCAGAGCCGGCGGACCGCGGAGCCGTTTCGCCGCGGCCGACGACGAGCTGGTGCGTCGGGCGCGCGCGCGACGCGACGGCCCGTCCAGCGACGCGCGCCCGGACGACGTGCGGCGGACCGCGGAAGCCGCGCACGCGGTCCAGGACTCCGTCGGGCGCGGGCAGAGTCGCGGAGCCGGTTCGCTGCGGCCGACGACGAGCTGGCCGACGACGAGCTCGTGCGCCGTACGCGCGAGCGACGCGACAGGCCGTCCGGCGATATCTCACACAATCGGAACGGAGTGTACGGCGGATCGCGGAAGCCGCAGCAGCTCGCGGTCCAGGAGCGCGCGAGACAACCTCCGAGTCGAGAACGATCGTGAGAGCGGCTAATTTAGCTGTGAATTGGGCTAGGCCCCGCAGGGCTAGGCGTCGTCGAAGTCGCCGTCGCTGTCGTCGGCGTCGGAGAAGACGGGCTCGCCGTCCGTGATGCGGATCTCGTCGTCGGGGTCGCGCTCCACGGCGCCGTCGGCCTCGGGCTCCGCGGCGGTGGCGGCGCGCAGCCGGTCCTGGAGCTCGGCCGCCTTGCGCCGGGCTTGGACAACGTTGCTGTCCTTCTGGTTCTTGCGCAGCGCGGCGTTGCACTGCTTGATCGTGGCCTTCAGGTCCTGCATCTTCGCGGTGCTGGATTTCAGGACCCGGACCTTCTCCTGGCAGAGGTGCGCAAGCTCGGCCGCCGCGCCGTCGCGCTCGGCCACGAGCGCGCTCTTCTGGC